TGTACCTAAAATTAGGGGTCAAGCTACGTACATCCAACCCCCCCACCCAGCCATGAGCGGGAGCCTTTGACCACTGGGGTAATGTTGTTTTTGTTGTATGTAAACTGCAATGAAACAAACAAAGTGGGAGAGAGGAAGTTGTTTGCTACTAGGATTCAAATTCTGGAGAGCAAAATTAAGAATTGATTATACTCAGTATATAAGAAAAATACAGCACCAACTGATTTTAGCTAATTGTAAGAATCTGAATCCTGGAATAAGCAGAAAAATTGAAACCGGATGAGCTTTTATTATGCAAGAATGCAAGTGATAAACCTTTTTTGCTCATAGCATAATCTTTTTCACATTTCATGCAATAAGATTGTGTCGGTCAATGGAGAAAAAATCTTACCCAATCATGTTGAGCTTGAAACTAGACTGCAGAGCAGTATGACGATAGAGATTGTTCAATACAATAGATGAATCTGATCCACAATCAAGTTGGAAAATATTAGAGGGAAGGAATAATATCATCATGACATCTTACGACCCAAACATGGAAATTGATTCATTCTACATAAATTCAACTAATACCCCAATGACAACGCGCATTCCTGATCGATCGCTCTCATCTCGAATATCATTTATTCCTTCCAAACTCTTAGAGAGAAAAGTTAGGGAAATTTACAAACAATTGTAACATTCCATAATCATATACAAATAAGTGATTGAGCAAAGTCGAGAAATCTCAGAGATTACTAAGACAATTAGCCGAACATCACAAAAGTGAAGAATTAAAATTCAGGAAATATGGAAACAAGATTATTGTTTATTATTTAAAAAATAAGGATACAAGAATAATCAACTCTGATCCATCCAAAACTAGAAAATTACCCAATAAAAACAGTAAATGAATCGGTCAAGGCAATGGCTCAGTGATCAGATCAATAATCAAAACAGTCATGCCACCTATGGCTGAAACAATATTTTCTAATGATAGTATTTTAATTAATAAACAGGCACATGACACTCGAGTTTTGAGGGAAAAAATGTATACATGATTATAATTTGAAATGAGAACAAAAAAATTTAATTAAGTAAACATTGGATTCAAATCCTTAGTGAGATGGAAAACCAGATTTAGCAATAACATCATAAAATTAGATGATATTGTTGTTTACGTCTAAGCATTGAAAAACCAAACCGATCCAACCATCCAAGCTAAAATTCACCCAGTTTAACCCAATTTTCAACCAGTTCAATCGGTTCAAAACCACCTCCCCATTCCACCTGTTTTAAGGGCTCAGCCGGCAGACTTGATCACCAGGTATTTCTAGGTCTGCACAACCTGAGGAATGAGGAATCAGTCCAGTTTAAAACACCATAAACTTTATCCAGTTTGCCATGGCATTTCTAAAGATATTAAGGTTTAACACCAAGGCAATGGCAGAAAGCAATAAATATCAAGCTTTGCCTAGGAAGTGCAGCATTATCAATGACCATAATGACAAAAATGATTAATACAAAAGATTATCAAAAAAAAAGAATGAAATAAAGAGAAAGCATGATGAAGGGGTAATACATATGCGTCAATGTAGGAGAAATGGCCTTCTTCAGGTTGGGTTAGTACATGTTTTGGGTTAAAAACAAGACCACTGTTACAATACTAGAAAACGCCCCGAGTTGGATTTGGAATATATGCAAAAACGTATTTGCTTTTCTTTTTTGGGGAAAAAAAAGAGACAGCTAACTTGCAAATGATTGCATGGAAATAGTCAAAGAGAAAAACAAAAAAGGAACCTCCAACAGAATAAAAGTACTTTCAAAATGGCAATGTGAAATAACACATCTCAAAATGGCAAAGAGAAATAATCTCAACATAGCAATGTGAAATAACTGAATTCATTTTTACCGTTACTTCAGGGTTAAGAATATAGAAAGACATTGCATCGACAACCTCTGCAAGATTGTGTGGAGGGATATTTGTGACCATGCACACCTGAAAGCATAAAGATTGGAAACAATCGCGTGACAAAGGGATACGTAAACTATATATAGAAATGAATAGAAGATCAAATCATTTAAGTATTTTCTAGGTCAGACTGATTACTGCAATTCCAGAGGCACCATTCAGGAGCAGATTCAGGATTCTAGCACGGAGTAGAGATGGCTCTTTTTGTGATTTGTCAAAATTTGGGACAAAATCAACCTGTAAATCATCATACCATAAGTGACTAACTCGGAAGTAAGAAACATATAATTAACTTGTAATATAGATGACATACTACATTTTGATATATCTCTCAGAGCGGCATTGCCTCGGTAAGTGCCTGAAAATGAAACCATTTATTAGCATCTTCAGAAACGAAAACCATGGGCCTACAGTTTACCAACTAGTAAACATGCCCTTTTGAAATGAAGGGGTTATTTGATTTAATATGGATATAAGAATTAGAATATAAAACTTACAAAAGATAATGGGTATTGGCAAAAGAGGCTTTACCCATCAGCATAAAGCATAAATGGCCATTAACATTAATTTTAACAATATATTACATGCGTTTTTGTTTCATTCCCCTCCCTCTCTTTAGGAAGCAGCCATTGTGATACCAAGACGAAGCACGTCTCGTACAGACCTCAGGAATCCAAAAGTTATTATGTACCTAAAATTAGGGGTCAAGCTATGTACATCCAACCCCCCCCCACCCAGCAATGAGCGGGAGCCTTTGACCACTGGGGTAATGTTGTTTTTGTTGTATGTAAACTGCAATGAAACCAACAAAGTGGGAGAGAGGAAGTTGTTTGCTACTAGGATTCAAATTCTGGAGAGCAAAATTAAGAATTGATTATACTCAGTATATAAGAAAAATACAGCACCAACTGATTTTAGCTAATTGTAAGAATCTGAATCTTGGAATAAGCAGAAAAATTGAAACCGGATGAGCTTTTATTATGCAAGAATGCAAGTGATAAACCTTTTTTGCTCATAGCATAATCTTTTTCACATTTCATGCAATAAGATTGTGTCGGCCAATGCAGAAAAAAATCTTAGCCAATCATGTTGAGCCTGAAACTAGACTGCAGAGCAGTATGACGATATAGATTGTTCAATACAATAGATGAATCTGTTCCACAATCAAGTTGGAAAACATTAGAGGGAAGGAATAATATCATCATGACATCTTACGACCCAAACATGGAAATTGATTCATTCTACATAAATTCAACTAGTACCCCAATGACAACGCGCATTCCTGATCGATCGCTCTCATCTCGAATATCATTTATCCCTTC